GCATCACTCTGCTTACAATGAGGCTCTCAGTCCAGCAGAAACAGGTTATAAAACAATGAAGTAGTTCCCCTGGTGCATCACCACAAGGCATCTGTCCCTCAAACAAAAGGTAAACAAACGCTACTGCAAAAAAAGTCACTGGAATACCAAGTCCCAAAGGAAATAACTTCAAACTTTAAATGACTGTTAAGGTTTCAGGGATTTAAGAATGGTTTCTTTTTTTTGTTTTGACTGGTAAGAGGATCACAACCCACGGCACAGTGTTGTCTGCACCACTGAGCACACCGGCCATCCCTTTATAGGATCCGAACCCACGGGCTGGGCACTATCAGCGTGGCACTCTCCTGAGTGAGCCACGGGCCAGCCCTAAGAATGGTTCCTGAAGAGAAAAGATCTTAGGAGTTCTTCCTACCTGACTGTCTCCAAGTTTAGGAATTGTGTAGGTGGTAGCGAACAGAAGCCTCTCGTTGCTCAGAACCACTCCAGCTATGCTGAAGTGTGTGTTACGTTCATGCAAAAGTTCTGGTTACCCCGTATCACCAATACTGGGTTTGAGACTTTAGGAAATTGTTTCTAATTAAAGTCACCTCCAGGCAAAACAGCAAAGCATTTACTCTTATAAAACTGGGTTTCCTGTGTCTGAGCTGGGAGGGTTTAGACCAGAACACAAGAATGCAACCCAACACTGTTGCCAGTTCTTATCTTGTTACAAAATAGCCTTATTCCCAAAAGTGATTATAAATGAACATGCAAGCCCAGTCAGGGGAGGATGAAGTTTTAGGAGTTAAAAGGTATGTATCATTTTAAGTACCTCAACTCGTTTAATGGCACCTGGGGCATCCCCCCAGGGGCTGGTAAGAGCTCTTTTTGACGTGCAGAAGTGATGTGCTGAAGGCATCCCATGACCTCCTTGCAAAGCAGACTTGTTCGTGGCTAAAAGATGCTTTCTGAGAAAAGGAGGAAAAAAGTCCTAGAAGGACAGGTGGAGGTGAGGAATCAGCCAACAGCAAAGTCCTAAAGTCTGCTTGCTACAAGGAAAAGAAAATGCAGGGAATCAATGAAGTCTTAAGAATTACCAAATGTTGATACTGATCGTCTCCAAACTGTTAAGAGTAAATTCACTGTTCTCGTTAACCTTGTGTTTCTGTGTTTTGAATTCAGTTGTGTCCACAGTACTGGCCAGAAAACGGAGTACACAGGCATGGCCCCATCCAAGTGGAATTTGTTTCTGCCGATTTAGAAGAGGACATTATCAGCAGGATATTCCGTATTTATAACGCAGCCAGAGTAAGAGTCTGGGCCAGTATTGCTTGTTATCGTGGTTTCATTACTTTCTCATTCATTGAATTCTGGAGTGCCCACTGTACGCGAGACAC